AGAGGGAGGATTTCCCACATCCCGAGGGGCCCATCACGGCCGTGGTCGTGCCCACGCCCATCATCCCCTGAGGAAGGGCGGGGGGACAAGGGAGGGAGGCAGGGGAAAGCGGATAGAGGAAAGAGTATGAGGTCTCCAAGTGTCTGGCCACATGCTCCATAGTCTCCATTTCGCGCAAGATTTCAGTGTCTTTCCCAGACTGTTGCCCTCCCTCTCTCCCTTCCCCATCCCTCTCTCCTCCTACCGAGATGCCCTTGAGTATCCGCCGACTCTTCCTCTTCATGTCCTTGCCCACGTAATGGGCTGTCAACGCCAGCTGGTGAAAGCAAATCTCCACGCCTGACAGGGCGAGCCGGGAGAACGTAGAGGAAATGAGTGGGGGGAAGAAAGGAGGAAAAAAACAAGGAGGAGAAAGGGAGGGATAGAGGAGGGGCATTAGAAGGGCCGTGCGAAGCGTGCAGACGAGAGTAATAGGCAAGCCATCGGCCAGTATGATCACTGCAACCCGTCCCCTGCCCCCTCCCTTCGATCCCTTTTCCTACCTTTGCTCTCCATCATCGTCTTGCTCGGAGTCCTTTCCATCTCCTTGTCCCCCTCCAAATCAATCGTGTTGGCTGAGAACCCGACACTCGGCACGCTGGTCGAGGAGCCATCCTTAGGCATAAAATCTTCCTTGTAATCTTTGGTCTCATCAGATAGGGCGGAGATTTCAGGCTTCGGTGCCACGCCGGGGGTGTCGCGAAAAGTAGGGTTGGCCGGCATCCTGATCGCGACTAGTATACCTAGGTGAGGGAGGGGGAGTGCGACAATATACATATCAACAGGTGTGCCTGAAAAATCAAAGGTTGCTCTTTTATGTAAAAGAGATTGGTAGATTTGGAGGGGCTGAGGAACACAGGCGGTATGCGACGGAGTTGTAGCCAGCCTGGCGTACACACGGGCATAAGAGGCCTGAAAATTCCGGTCATGAATAATCTGTTTAATGATCACACGAATAAGATTGCCTATTCTTGATTTTAAAGCAAACACACTGTTTCACTTTTACGCGGCAGTAAAACAAAATTGTAGACGCCGGAAATAGATTATGCTATGGCATAGTACAGCTCTTCCTGTTTTTACCTCCTGCTGGCAACAAGATAATAACCGCCAATAGAATGGACACACACAATACCGACTGTGATGATCATCAATCCAAATAAAAAGCAAAAATGCATAGTTCAAAACAAAGCGGGGCGGTTTTGGGGGCCAGTTGTACGTTCGGTCACGCAAAATACGGTGATCGAAGAGTAAGGCATGGACATCGGACCGGGTCACGAGAGCAACAGTCATCCGGGTAGCCTTGTGGAGGACAAAGGTGGCCGCCCGCTGTGGCCCTGCTTTTGCTGGCCCGTCCTCACCCTTTGTTGGGTACTTAATGACATACATTTTTATTCAAGGTATTTATAAATTTAATTGCTAGAGAGATGTCGAATTTTTTTCAAAACCACCAAAATGGCCGGCATTTTTGTCGATGGAACCAATACTTCCGGCTTGACAGGCGTCGGGCTGAGAAATAAAATAGTCAGAGAATCGAAAGTAATCATTCTATTATTACATTATCCAGGTAAACCCACGAAAAAAGTATAACACTTTAAAGTTGTCGCCAAGACAACGCATGCGCATCGATTGCCAGCTCCGTTAGTGATCGCCGTTTTCATACATTGACCTTTGCCCTTGACATAAAACGGGTAAATTTTAAAGATGATATGCTGACAATGTCTCCTGACGGAAGTATACCTTTGCACTTTCGAAAGTAAAGCCTCCTGTCACGCTTCTTACAAGACCGCT